AATGCTAAGTGAAGTTAGCCAACCCCAAGAAACCAAATGCTGAATGGTTTCTCTGCTATAAGGAGGCTGATTCACAGTGGGGTAGGGAGGGGGAGCATGGGAGGAAGAGGCGGACTCTAGACAGGGCAGAGGGGTGGGAGGGGAAGGGAGGACACAGAGGGAAAGTCGGTGGAATGAGATGGACATCATTACCCGAAGTACAGGTATGAAGACACCAACGTTGTGCATATAGATTGTATACAACCAGGGATAAGAAACACTGTGCTCTATATGTGTACTATTAATCTTAACGCATTCTGCCATCATATATAACAAATTAGAATTTTAAATAAATAAATAAACAAACAAACTTTTCCTCCTCTGAGTTGTATTAGCGCAAAAAGACCAGGATGAACACAAACTTCACAAATCAGCTCAGCACTTTACTCAGGAAGGGAGTTGCACACCGGAGAGGGGATACAGGGACGAAATGACGCTGTGGTGGGACCCACTTTCCTGGAGGAAAATGAGCCCCTGCACAAAGAAAGGGCCTGGGCTTCTACAGGTTGTCCTGAGAGGGGGTCTAAGGAGCACATCAGTTTTCTTGGGGCACCCGGGGATTTGGAGCTTGTTCTATCAGTCAGTGAGGGGGTCAGTTTTAGTGCTTAGGAATCTGTTTTCCAGGGCTGCCTCTGTTTCTCAAAAGACCCAGCCCCTTGCCGGTTTCTTCTGAATCATTTTGCAAAGGATTCCGACCAAGAGAGGCATAGAGCTAGTTATGTGAAGCAGAGCTTCCATGTGGCCCCATGAGAGGCCCCCCCAGGGATGCTGGTGATGTTAAATTAAAGGAACCAAGCTGGGCATGGTGGCACAGGCCTGCAGTCCCAGCAATGTGGGAGGCTGAGCCAGGAGGATCACAGGTTTGAGGCCAGCCTCAGCAGCTCAGCGAGGCCCTAAGCAACCTAGACACTCTCTCAAAATAAAAAATAAAAAGGACTGAGGATGTAGCTCAATGGTAACACCCCTGAGTTCAATTCCCAGTTACCTGCCGCCCCCCCCCAAAAGGAACCAGGTGTGAGTGTAGCTCCGTGGCAGAGCACTTGTCCAGAATGCGCACGGGCCTGGGCACCATCCCCAGCACTACGGAACTAATTAACTGGTGAATTATTTAACTCATCGC